GTGGTTTGCATTTGCAAAATATTAGTTATCTATAAAGTATATATTACGTATATTAAATATAAATTAGAAACCTATAAAAAAAAAGTGTCGCAACCTTTTAGTGAGCGAGTGTATGTACATACAATATGTATACATATCGACCAGAATGTTATACTATCAGACATCCTATATATTTTTTGATATTTGTTTAAACAAATAAAAGTTGTCCAAAAACAAATATGAAATTATATAAATTGCTAATATTTGATTGGACATAAAAATAAAAATAATTTTTTAATAAACGGTTCAACCGTTTATAGTGTTTAAACTATGCAAAAGTATATGCAGCAAAAATTTAATGCCATTGTTTTTTTAAATAATTTTAAGTTTTATAAAATAGACTTAAAGTGATTAAAATAATCAATGGGATCATAGTAAAGCAAAAAAACTTGGCGTGTCCGCTCTATTATACACATCCGTCTTATTAATTATAAATAAGACAGAGAATATTGATAGCTTTTGAATGTATTTATTTAAAATTATAACAGAGAAATTCTCTTTTCTAGTTTATACATATATAAAGAAATAGCGCCATAGTTAGATATAAGAAAGTTAAGCAATATTATTATTCTATAGTATCATTATTTTGGCATATTTGGTGGATATGATCCAGGACAAAGAGGTCTATTATCTGACTTATCCAAATGTGCCATCCCGCATGCACATATAGAAAATGTTCATTACATCCTAAATGAGGACAGCAATCACTATCTTTGAAACACACAAAATATTTAAAATATAATATTTAGAGTTGTGTTATTTGACATTAAAAATTAATATTAATTTGTGGATAATATTGCGACTGCATTGATACAGATGTAAATATTTTCTTGTAGTCTTAATAAGTTTATATAGATTATGCACAGAACAAAACATAAATTACAAATTTTTTAATTCTAATATCATTTTTTTTGTGTATATCTTAAAAATGCGGAAAACAATTATCTTTTATAAAATATATGTATATTGTATAAGTACTTACGCCATCAATAAGGAATCTAGTTACATCCTTCTACAGAAGCAACCATAGTCATAGCAATCATAACGAAAATAGTGAAGATAACGAACTTTATCTTGTCAACATTTTCTGTAATTATTATTTTTATAATATATCTACAATTCGACACGCGGCTGCGAAATAATAATATGATAATAATACTTCTATAAAAATTGTCATTTTAACTTCAATTTATCTTTTTTAAATGACAAAACTCTGCATAAAACAAGAAACATTTTATTATTAATATACTAGCATAATATATAATTTTATATACATAGTTTATTATGCAAGTCATACGACAAATCGCATCTGATCAATTCTGATCGACTTTTAAAGAGTATTTATATATTACTCCATATCACATTTTTGCGATAAAGCGTATATCCGAAATATATGTATCTGCTTACATTACCTGTTAAATGTAAGGAAACATCGTTTAGGCAGATAACTTTGTAACACTACACTGCAAATCCAAATGTGTAATAAATACACACTTATATGTATATGTAAAATTATACATTTATGTGTGTGACTTAGTTTTCCGCGTAAAAATAACACACTATAATGCATACAAAAATAAATTTACACATTTAAATGTGTAATTTAACACGTTTCGCTGTGTATAATATGATATGTAATATTAAATGTGAAAATGTGTATTTCCAAAGAATTCAAATGTGCAAAAAGTACACGTATAAAATAACTTTGCACATTTAGTTCTTCTTACACATGAGTTACGTTTCACGTGTAATGATGACAAAATGTGTATCAGATTGAAAAGAAACTTCTTTCTTTGCGATTTTTGATAAAAAGTTGAGCAAAAATACGAATTATGTCTTTAAATTTATATTAATTATTTATAATATTCTGTATAATTATAAAACATCGAATATTTTTAATAATTACATAAACTTAAGTTTACAATATAAAATCAATTCACGATTTAGGCTCAATAAATTAAATTAAAACGATGGACAATCAAGGGCAAATGAGTCAAAGGCAAGTTATTGGTAGCCAAAAAAACAATTATATTTAAATCGGATCCAG